CACACACACACACACACACACACACACACACACAGTATCTGGAAACATACAGCTGTGTTTTGATTCTCCTACTAACAGAGGAAGACTGGCACAAGAATATTGGGATTTAGTAGGTGAGGGTCAGGAACGTTCAATGCTCTGCACTGTACAGGTCTTGCATTCTCTGAACAGTCCTACAAAAGGAATATTGTCTTTTTATGCAAATAACACAGACGTTATTTTTTCTTTTGGGCAAACCACGCAATCTCTACGCTCTCTGCGCACTGTTTTTGTTACTGCACTACACCAATATTTTTTCACATTTTGCCAACTTCAATTTCTTTTTCTGTCCAACAAATTTCAAGTTACCAGGATAAAACTTATCTCACAGAAACTTCATTTAAGGTAAATATTTTCCTAAACCAAGTGCAACCAATGGTGAACTGAACATGCTCGTGACTGAAATCAGATGCCATGTTGAAACCAAACAGTATGAATGCATGAAGAAAAGTTACTAAGTACAAAATGATCCTAGGCCTAAAACAAGAACAAGATGTTTATATTTTATTGCTTTCATATATCTTAAACTGAAATTAGTTTTTGATAATCGATGTCTCTGAAATCAACAAATAACAGTCACCAGAAGAAATTGTGTTTTCATCTTAAAATACGCCATTATAGTTTATTCATTCATTATCATCATCAGTGGTTCTCATTCTCAGAGAACGGCCATTCCTTTTCCGGTGAAACCTGCCTTCAAATCTGGGATTCCTCTTTCATTTGCCAAAAGCTTCGCTTTGATCTGAATTGCGACAATAGAGACAGCTTGATTTTGTTCCCTTCGAGAAATAATCCACTCTTTCAAGTCGTTCTCCAACTCAGGCCAGTTTGCTTTGGGCCCACAACGTGAGCGATTTCGCGGATTCGTTTTCTCCAGCTCCTTTTTCTCCTTTCTCCATTTGCAAAATGGACGACTCACCAACCTCGAACTCTCTTGCTGCCACTCTGTTGCTTGTTTCTTCTGCCCTCAATGACTTTCAGTTTGAAGTCGGCAATGTAGGACTTGCATTTAATTCCTGACATGATCCTAAAGGGTTCTAAGATTTAGATGTATAAACTGAAAGATGTGCACAATGTAATCGATAACTGGCTGCAAAATTCAAATGAGAAGTGTACATGACTAAGGTGACTGATATCACTGAATCAAAGGCATTGGCATTATTAAGACATAATCAGACTATGAAATAAGCAGACCTAATATGCCTTAATGATCTCACTTAAGATGATCTGATAAGGTTTTCGAATTCAACTGCTGAGGCAAGAGCGATCATGTATCACTTCTGTTTTGTTTACTCCTCCAATTAAAAGACAGAATCGGAAGATGACTGCGATAATTACGTCATGCAGACCGAATCAAATTCCAATTGATAGCTACTAAACGTCATTTATGCCAGTGCAGGCTTCACTTTGTTTATGCTTCCAACTGATAGCATTTGATTTACAGACAGAGCTCAGAAGGCTCAAGGTTCCGACTGATGACTCAAAAGTGACAGGGATATAATTATCAACTTAATTTAACAGAAACAAACCCACAGTATCAACTATTTTCCATTTACCAGAGTACTACCAAACTAAACTGATGACTTCTCTACCACGGCTTATAGCTTTATTATACAAACGTCATCAAAAGTAACATATTCCACTACTGAACGAGGGTGAATGAGGCTGAAATTCACTTCTGGAAACGTCACGAGACATGCAGAGTATATGCATGGGCACACTATGCCAGGACTTTTTTACATAATTCTGTCACTTTGGCGCATTATATGCGCATGCACCTTATTTACACAGGCACGCTATTTGCAAAAAATACCGGTAGTTCAAACACCAACAGCTGGACTGACCAAACATATACAAGTAGGCTAGCCAAAAGGAAAGTAGTAAGGTTTCAAAATACTGGGTTACCCCGACCTGGCACGAAAGACAGAAAAGGCATCCAGACACACACCTACCCATTTCAGTACTCTACCAAGCAAATTAAGGAGTCACTGACAGAAAAGCTTACAGGAATACACAACAGCATGCCAAAAGACAATTTTTACCACCGTAAGATAATTGAGAAGTTTACATCCATCTTTGGTCTGAATTAGGTTTCTTAGAAAAACTTTTAGATTTCCCTGGACACTATCAAAACTTACTTGGGGGAAGGGAGGCTTGCAGGAGAAAGATAGAGATAAAAAGAAGCATAATGTAACACTGAAAATTCGTATAACTGCTTAGAAAAAACATAATCAATCTTTTCCAAACAGTATCAGATACACAAACAATTCAATCATAAACATACTTACTGGCTTGTTCCAAAACACTACGAAGTGGCGGCTCCACTCTAGCTAAGAGATCATCACACATCTCCAGAAATTTGCCTCTATTTTTAAAAAAAAAAAAAAAAAAAAAGGTTAAATCACATTCCACTTTTGTATGGAATGGACGCAACATCAAGGCAAGAGTGTAGAGAAATTAGAACCCTCAAGCACTCCTGGTGAAAATGTAAAATTGTGTAGCCACTTTGGAAAAGACTCTGGCAGGCCTCAAATTTTAAACATTGAGTTACCATACCATTGCTGTCGAGGTGATTCCGACTCACAGCAACCCCTTGTGTTAGAGTAGAACTGCACTAGAGTATTTTTGGCTGTAAACTTCACAGGAAGAGTCCTGGTGGCACAACAATTAAGCACTTGGCTGCTAACCAAAAGGTCAGCAGTTCAAACCCACCCAGCAGCTCCTTGGGAGAAAAGACCCGGCAATTTGCTTCCGTAAAGATTAAAGCCTAGGAAACACTACGGGGCAATTCTACTCTATCATATGTTCTTGGAGCCCTGGTGATGAAGTGGTTAAGAGCTAACCAAAAGGTCCGCAGTTCAAATCCACCAGCCACTCCTTGGAAACTCTATGGGGCAGTTCTCTTTCCTACAGAGTTGCTAAGAGTCAGAACTGACTCGACAGCAATGGGTTTGGTTTTTTGGAGTTTTTATGAGTTGGAATCAACTCAACGGCACAAAAACAACAACCACAATCTTAACAGAAGCAGATCATCAGACCTTCCTTCAGCAGTACCACTAGGTGAGCTCAAATCTTTAAGACAGTATCAAGTACAAACCGTTTGTGCCACCTATGACCCAGCAGTTCCACTCCGAGGTATATACCCAAGAGAGAAAACATAATGCAACACAACAACCTGTAGATGAAGCTCAAAGCAGCATTATTCATAATAGCCAGAAAGTGGAAATAGCACATATGTTCATTAACTGTTTTCAACAATAAAAAGGACTAATACAAGCTACAAAATGGACAAACCTTAAAAACATGCTAGGTGAAAGAAGCTAGTAACCAAAGATAAATAGTGCTCCATTTATATGAAATGTTCAGAAAAGGTAAATGCATATAGACAGAAAGCAGTTAGTGGCTGCCTAAGCTGGGGGGACAGGGATGGAGTGAATTATATCTCAATTTAAAAAAAGTAGATGTGTAGACTACACCAACAAGAATGGCAAAAACTTAAAGACTGCTAATGCAGTGGTCAAGAGCTCAGTTACTAACCAAAAGGTCAGCAGTTCGAATCCACCAGCTGCTCCATGAAAACCCTAACAGGCAGTTCTACTCTGTCCTACAGGGTCCCTATGAGTCGGAATTGCCTCGATGGCCAACAGGTTTGCTTTTTTTTTTTCTTTTTTTTTAATGTGTGTGTCTGGAGCCCTGGTGCTGCAGTATTAAGACCCTGGCTGTTAACAAAAAGGTCAGCAGTTTGAATCCACCAGCCGATCCTAGGAAACACTACAGAACAGTTCCACTCTGTCCCATAGGGTCACCAAGAGCCAGAACTGACTCAACGGCAACGGGTTTGGTTTTTTAAATGTATGTATCTAGGAGCCCTGGTGGCACAGCAGTTAAAGCGCTCAACTGCTAACCAAAAGGCTGGCGGTTCAAATCCACCAGCTGCTCCACGGGATAAAGATGTGGCAGTCTGCTTCAGTAAGGATTTACAGACTTTGAAACCCTATGAGACAGTTCTACTCTGTCCTATAGTGTCACTATGAGTCGGAATCGACTGAATGGTAATGGGTTTGGTTTTGGTTTGGATGTTATCTATCTAGTAGGGCTGTGTCTGTGCACACACGCATCTGTGTGTGTACATAATAGGACTATACGCTCTGACAATGTATATACAGTTCAACTGCACAAAAAAGGGAAGTGCACAAGCTAATTCTTTTAACTGTTTTCAGTTCTGAAATAGTATAAACTACTTCCAAGTAACTAGCTTATAATCGCATAGCACTTCACTAATAATTTCTGAAACACATACTGATGTATCCCTATCCCCTAGCACCCATAACATATACACACACAACTGCTGCTTAGTAAAAATGAAAGTGACCACATTCAAATAAGGGAAAGAGGCTAGAAATTTAGGTACTAGGCAACAATAAATGCCATTTCAAGTCTTTGATGAAAAGCTTAGGTCAAACCTCCCCCAAGCAAGCCATCAGTCTTGATTAGAATCAACCAGTAGATTTCACAGCCAAAAAAAAGCACATCTTACTTCCATCATCTAAGCAAACCCAACCAGGCAGCAACGACATTCTGGATATTTCTGAGGATAGCCTTAAAATGTCAATTACCCATAATTCCTGCAGCACTGTACAAAAGAGCTGCTGTCCTCAAGTAATCCTAAACCACTCAAACATAAATTTCTGAATCAGTGACTAAATCTAATTCAACTGAATTCCTCATCAAAGCACTCTGTCCTTTTTTATGAAAACTGGTAACTAATGTATAATACACTCACATGTAAAAAACTATAATTTCCTGTAATACTCAACTAATCATAGAACAAAAAATTAATACTTGATTAATCAGAACAAAACAATCTACATTATTAAAATAACTCAATCTTTATATAAAAAAATGTAAGTATTTGAGGTCCTGAAAAAGCTCTAATTTTCTCTTAAAGAACAGAAATTATCACATAATAATCATGGTGATTTCAACAATTAGTTAATTAAGGTTAATATACGTGGAGAAAAATCACAATTCAATCTGATTTAACATCAAATTATGAACAGGTTTACCTATTCATAGTTCCAGATACATCAACATCATTCATAAAACATTCAATGTTCAAAGGGAGGTCTGAAGCATTTGCACTCATCAATTTCTTGAGTTTCTCACACTCCTGAGACAGGCGTAATAATGCACGTATTTTGGACTTTATGTCTAGCTTGTATTTCTTCCCAAATTCTTCACAGAAGTGATTTACTAACACCTCATCAAATTTTCTGCCTCCCAGTGTTGTGTCAAATGCAGTGGCCAGAACCTAAGAAAAAAATACGACCATTAATCCAACAATTATTAATCAAACCAATTTAAAAAGCACTCACAATGTAAATTTAACTGGTAAGTTGTTAATTTAAAAAAAGGACACAGAAGTTTAAAAAAAAAAAGTTAATTGTACACATATCACTTAATGTTTGCTATAAGCACACTATGAAAGTTGACACTGTAATTCTCAATTTACAAATGTTGCCACAGGCCTAGACAAATCAGACAATTTGGAGCTTGTAAAGCTAGTAAGTGATCGGAGAAGAAATCAAAACCAAGTCTCCATAATTCCAAAATCTTTGCCCTCCCCACTATTCCAACCTGATTCCGAACAGCAATTACCAGTCAAAGGTTACATACATTAACTGTAATTTAAGAAATGTCATGCTGGGCGCCATCGACTCAGTTCCAACTCACAGTGACCCTATGTACAACAGAATGAAACATTGTCCAGTCCTGTGACATCCTCACAATTGTTGCTATCTTTGAGCTTGTTGTTACAGCCACTATGTCAATTCATCTCACTGAGGATCTTCCTCTTTTTTGCTATCTTCTACTTTACCAAGCATGATGTCCTTCTCCAGGGACTGATCCCTCCTGGTAACATGTCCATAGTATGCAAGACGAAGTCTCTCCATCCTCCCTTCTAAGGAGCTTTCTGGCTATACTTCTTCCAAGACAGATTTGTTTATTCTTCTGGAAGTCCATGGAATATTCAATACTCTGCCAACATAATTCAAAGGCATCAATTTTTCTCCAGTCTTCATTATGCACTGTCCAGCTTTTGCATGCGTATGAGGCAAATGAAAATACCACGGCTTGGGTCAGGCATACTCTGGCACTCAAAGTGACATCTTTGCTTTTATCACTTTCAAGTGGTCTTTTCCAACAGATCTGCACAACGCAAAACCATTGTTTGATTTCTTGACTGTTGCTTCCACGGACACTGATCGTGAATCTAAGTAAAATGAAATCCTTGACAAACTGAGTATTTTCTCTGTTTATCATGATGTTGCTTACTGGTCCAGTTGTGAGAATTTTTCTTCTCTTTAAGCTGAGGTGTAATCCATACCAAAGGCTATAGTCTTTGATCTTCGTAAGTAAGTGCTTCACGTCCTCTTCACTCTCTGCAAGCAAGGTTGTGTCATCTGCATATTGAGGCCACGTTCTTCTTCATATAGTCCAGCTTCTCGGATTATTTGCTAAGCACATAGACTGAATAAGTATGCTGAAAGGAAAACAATCTGACTCACACCTTTCCTGATTTTAAACCACACAGTATCCCCTTGCTCTGTTCGAACGACTGCTTCTTGGTCTATGTACAGGTTCCACAGGAGCACACTTAAGTGTTCTGGAATCCCCATTGTTCGCAATGTTATTGATAAATTGTTATGATCCACACAGTCGAATGCCTTTGCATAGTCAATAAAACACATAAACATCCTTCTGGTACTCTCTGCTTTCAGACAAGATCCATCAACAATGATATCCTTCATTCCATATACTCTTCTGAATCTGGCTTGAATTTCTGGCAGTTCCCTGTTGGTGTGCTGCTGCAACCATTTCTGAATGATCTTCAGCAAAGTTTCACTTGCACGTGATATTAATGATACTGTCTGATAATTTCCACATTCTGTTGGATCACTTTTCTACGAAATTGACACAAATATGGATCTCTCTCAGTCAGCTGGCAAGGTAGCTGTCTTCCAAACTTCTTGGCATAAACAAGTGAGTGCTTCTAGCACTGCATCCATTTGCTGAAACATCTCAATTGGTATTCCGTCAATTCCTGCAATTATTTTTCACCAATGCAATCAGGAGAGCTTGGACTTCTTCCATCAATACCATCGGTTCTTGATCATATACTATCTCCTGAAATAGCTGAATACCGACCAATTCTTTTTGGTACACTGATTCTGTGCATTCCTTTCATCTTCTTTTGATGTTTCCTGTGTCGTTCAGTACTTTGTACACAGAGTCTTTCAATACTGCAACTCAAGGCTTAAATTTTTTCTTCAGTTCTTTCAGCTTGAGAAATACCAAGTATGTTCTTTCCTTCTAGATTTCTAACTCTATGTCTTTGGATATGTCATTATAATACTTGATTGAGTCTTCTCCAGCCACTCTTTGAAATCTCTTACTTCATGATTTCTTCGTTCACTTTAGCTACTCAACGTTCATGAGTAAGTTTCAGAGTCTCTTCAATTTCTAAACACGCAGTACCAAAGAAAATCAAAATACACTAATATATCATGTGCATTGTTCTAGTCTTATTGCCATCACAAAACTGTGAATAATGCCAAGGCCCTGAGTATATGCAGCCTACTACCAAGAAAAATGTTAAACCCTTCATTCACAGCAAAGTGTTTCTATTAACATATATGTCTAACTAGCTTGGGTTACCCATTTTCCAAATCTCTTAGCAAATTAGACACTAGATCTAATCAGAGTCAGTAATGGAAGATAAAATAATTATGTGAGAACATTCTTATGAGGGAAAAAAACCAGCACAACAATTTCTTCAAAGAATGTTAAGTGTATGGGGAAATTTTAATATGTTAACTGAAAAAAAAAAAAACAGCACAGAACTTTATAGTGTGATTTCCATTTTGTTTTCTCAAAAGACTACAATGAAACACACCAAAATGTTACGGGTGGTAAGATTATGGATTTTTTTTCTTCATACATACATGTTTTGCAAGTTTGGAGAATAGTTTTATAATAAATATTTTTATAATCAAATTTAGAAGTAATCAAGAGGACTGGAAAACTGACAGATGACACCTGACAGTGAAGGACAATTTAGAAAAACAGAAGCAAATGGCCATTAATACACATCATTCTGATCCAAAACTCAGGTTTAATCATGGCCAGTATCTTCTATATAAAAAAGGAAAAGTATAAAATGGATTTTAGAAAAAATTGTATTAATGATTAAAATAAAATTTAAACAGTTAAGACTTATACTTGGAGCCATAAAAGTAGAAATCAACCAACAACAGAAAAAGCAAGGAAAAAACATCAAACACATGGAAACTGAACAACACCTTGCTAAAGAACTACTGGGATATAGAAGAAATCAAGGTTTGAATAAAGAAATTCATAGAATCAAACAAGAATGAAAATACATCCTACCAGAACCTTGGGGAAACAGCAAAAGCAGTGCTCAGAGATCAGATTATAGCAATAAATGCACACATCCAAAAAGAAGAAAGGGCCAGAATCAAAACAATAACCCTACAACTAGAACAAGTAGAATGAGAGCAGCAAAAGAGGCCCTCAGGCGCCAGAGGAAAGCAATAATAAGAATTAGAGCAGAATTAAATGAAATAGAGAATAGAAAAACAATTGAAAAAGTTAACAAGACCAAAAGCTGGTTCTTTGAAAACATCAACAAAACTAATAAACCATTGGCCAAACTGACCAAAGAAAACCTGGAGAGGAAACAGATAACCCATATAGGAAATGAGATGGGTGATATCACAAAAGACCCAGATGAAATTAAAAGAATGGTAACAGAATACTATGAAAAACTGTACGCTAACAAAGAGGAAATGGACAAATTTCTAGAAACTCATTACTTACCTAAACTAACACAAACAAAGGTAGAACAACCAAATAAACATATAACAAAAGAAGAGATTGAAAAGGTAATTAAAAAACTCGTAACGAAAAAAACCCTTGGCCCAGATGGCTTCACTGGAGAATTCTATCCAACTTTCAGAGAAGAGTTAACACCACTAACACACTAAAGGTATTTCAGAACATAGAAAAGGATGGAATACTCTCAAACTCATTCTATGAAGCCAGCATAACCCTGATACCAAAACCAGGTAAAGACACCGCAAAAAAAGAAAATTACAATAATCCTCATGAACACTGATGCAAAAATCCTCAACAAAATTCTAGCCAACAGAATTCAGCAACAGCTCAAAAAAAAAAAAAATTCATCAAGTGGAATTTATACCACGAATGCAGGGACAGTTCGATATTAGAAAAATAATCAACGTAATCCATCACTTAGATAAAACAAAAGAACTACATGATCTTATCAATCGACGCAGAAAAGGCATCTGACAAAGTCCAACACTCTTTCATGATAAAAACTCTCAACAAAATAGGAATGGAAGGGAAATTCCTCAACATAATTAAAGGCATTTATACAAAGCCAACAGCCAACATCATCCTAAATGGAGAGACTTTTGAAAGCATTCCCCTTGAGAACGGCAACCAGACAAGGATGCCCCTTATCACCATTCTTTTAATTCAACACTGCGCTGGAGGTCCTGGTCAGAGCAATTAGGCTAGAAAAAGAAATAAGGGGTATCCAAATTTGTAGGGAAGAAGTCAAAGTATCTCTATTTGCAGATGACATGATCTTACACACAAAAAACCCCAAAGAATCCACAAGAAAACTACTGGAACTAATAGAAAATTTCAGCAAAGTTTCAGGATACAAGGTAAACATACAAAAATCAATTGGATTCCTTTACACAACAAAGAGAACCTCGAACAGGAAATTACCAAATCAATACCATTTACAACAGCCTCCAAGAAGATGAAATACGTAGGAATAAATCTAACCAGAGACAAAAAAGATCTATACAATGAAAACTACATGACACTATTGCAAGAAACCAAAAGAGACCTGCATAAGTGGAAAAACATACCTTGCTCATGAACAGGTAGACTCAACATAGTGAAAATGCGAATTCTACCCAAATCGATCAACAGATACAATGCAATCCTGATCCAAACTCCAAGGGCATTTTTTAATGAGATGGAGAAACAAATCACCCATTTCATATGAAAAGGGAAGGGGCCCCAAATAAGTAAAGCGTTACTTAAGAACAACAACAAAGTGAGAGGCCTCACACTACCTGTTTTTATAACCTATTATACCACCACAGTAGTCAAAACAGCTTGGTACTGGTATTACAACAGACACATAGACCAATGGAACAGAATTGAAAATCCAGACATAAATTCATCCACCTGATATCTGACAAAGGCCCAAAGTCCGTTAATTGGGGAAAAGACAGTCTCTTTAACAAACGGTGCTGGTATAACTGGATATCCATCTGCAAAAAACTGAAACAAGACCCATACCTCACACCATGCACAAAAGCTAACTCAAAATGGATCAAAGACTTAAATATAAAATCAAAAACAATAAAGATCATGGGAGTAAAAAAATAGGGACCATGCTAGAAGCCTTACTACATGGCATAAACACAATACGAACCACAAGTAACAATGCACAAGCACCAGAAGAGAAACCACATAAATGGGAGCTCCTAAAAATTAAACACTTATGCTCATTAAAACACTTCATCAAGAGTAAAAAGACAACCTGCAGACTGGGGAAAAAATTTTGGCTACAACAAATCTGATCAGCATCTGATCTCTAAAATCTACAAGATACTGCAAAACCTCAACAACAAAAAGACAAATAACCCAATTAAAAAATGGGCAAAGGATATGAACAGGCAGTTCACCAAAGAAGATATTCAGGCGGCTAACAGACACTGGAAAAATGCTCACCATCATTAGCCATTAGAGAAAGTTAGATCAAAACTACAATGAGATATCATCTCACCCCAACAAGGCCAGCATTAATCCAAAAAACACAAAATAATAAATGCTGGAGAGGTTGTGGAGAGACTGCAACACTTATACACTGTTGGTGGGAATGTAAAATGGTACAACCACTTTGGAAATCGATTTGGCACTTCCTTAAAAAGACAGACGTACCATATAATCCAGCTATCCTGTTCCTTGGAATATATCCTAGAGAAATAAGAGCTGTCACATGAATAGTTACATGCACACCCATGTTCACTGCAGCACTGTTCACAATAGCAAAAATATGGCTACAACCCACGTGCCCATCAATGGACAAATGGATAAACAAATTATGGTATATCGACACAATGGAATACTATGCAACAATAAAGAACAACGATGAAGCCATGAAACGTAACATGGAGGAAGCTGGAGATCATTATGCTAAGTGAATTTAGTCCGTCACAGAAGGACAAATACTGTATAAGAGCACTATTATAAAAACTCAAGAAAAGGTTTTAAACACAGAAGAAAACATTCTTTGATGGTTACAGGGGTGGAGAGGGAGGGTGAGGGTTATTCACTAACTAGACAGTAGATAAGAATCATCTTTCATCTTAGGTGAAGGGAAGGACAGCACACACTACAGGGGAAGTCAGCATAACTGAACTAAACCAAAGCTAAGAAGCTTCCTGAATACAATCAAACACTTTGAGGGACAGAGTAGCAGGGGTGGGGGTCTGGGGACCATGCTTTCAGGGGACATCTAGGTCAACTGGCATAACAAAGCTTATTAAAAAAAAGTCCGCAACCCAACTCCAGTGAGTGGCATCTGGGGTCTTAAAAGCTTTCAAGCGGTCATCTAAGATGCATCAATTGGTCCCAACCACCTGGAGTAAAGGAGAATGAAGAACACCAAAGACACAAAGAAAGTAGTAGCCCAAGAGACAGAAAGGGCCACATAAACCAGCCTGAGACCAGAAGAACTAGATGGTGCCCGGCTACCACAGATGACCGCCCTGACAGGGAACACAACAGAGAGCCCTGGATGGAGCAGGAGAAAGGTGGGGTGCAGAACTCAAATTCTAGTAAGAAGACCAGACTGATGATCTGACTGAAACTGGAGGAACCTTGAAAGTATAGCCCCTGGATTCTCTATCAGCCCAGAACTAAAACAATTTCCAAGGACAACTCTTCAGATAAGGATTGAAATGGACTGTGGGACATAAAGCGATACTCGTGAGGAGTGTGCCTTTTAGCTCAAGTAGATACAGGAGAGTAAAAGGGCATCTTCTGCCTGGAGATGAGATGGGAAGGCAGAGAGGGTTAGGAGCTGGTTGACTGGACATGGAGAATCAGAGATGGAAAGGAGGGGTGTGCTGTCACAGTATGGGGAGAGCAACTGGAGTCACATAACAATGTATGTATAAATTTTTGTATGGGAAAAAAATTTTTTTTAAATGTAAAAAAAGAAGAATTATACTTGGTCCATCACTTACACCTATAAAAATCACAAACCTCTCATTTTCCAAACATCTTAATGATTTGCTTTCTTTTTTAAAGAAAGAAAGCTATAAACAAACTAGAACCAATGTAAAATGGAAACACGTCTGTTTTTCAAAGCAAGAGGACTGCAACAAATAATCTCAAGATGTCTTCCAAACCTACCGAATATTTATTTGGGAATAGTCCATCCTTACTAATAGGTGGAAAAAGTCAATTTAGATCTTAGCACCAAGAACCTTGATATATAACTCAATAACTAAAGTAAACATTTGAAAAATCCTTAGTTCTTAAGCAAATTCTGGATAAAAACATCTAGCTAGACAGAGAACTGATTTTATATTCCATTGTGGAACTAGTATAAACCAACAAACTCCCTTGAGACTGTGATCACCCCCTGGCCTCTCCCTGCCTCTACAAAAGTCTAGACTTCTCTGTATACAAACTGCTTCCTCCAGAGCTTTAAGCCTTCCAGGAAATCTGGAATATCACTCCTAATCTGGTTTCTTTTGGTCACCCAAGTCCTACTCCCTCCAACCTTTGCCCAGAACACATAAAACCTCAAAAGCAAGAGGAGAGCTCCTTTCCCATCCCCTCAATCCTCAGTGTAAAATGTACCGAGGGACTGACTATATGTGAGAATCCTCCTAACAAGACCGAAAGATAAGCTTTATTTTCCCCATGAGAAAAACGAGGCTCCCGGAGCTTAAGAGCTTTTTCCTCAAATTCTATGCTCTTTGCTTCACACCATGTCACCTCTTGATAAATTATTTTGGGCTTACAACGCCTGCTCTGCCCCTTCAATATCTAATTTCTAACTCAAACAGCTCACAGCAAATTTCCATCAATCAAAATTATTTAACCAATTATTTATGTTGTCTCTCAAAAATTCCTAATTACAATACCTGCAATAGTGTTCAGGAAGATGTATACTTACTTTCAGTTTCGCTCTATTAAATGCACACACAGAAACTTGATAAGCAGAATGCCCCATGTCTACAAAAACTACATTTCTTGGTTTCTCTTCTAAGGCAGGAAGATCTTGTTTATAAATTCCGTACGCGAGAGCAACTACACAAGAAAAAAAGGAGATTCATCATAACAGTACCATTTAAGTAGTAAATATCAAATTCATTTAAGTGGCAAAAACTAAGTTTTGTGTTGAGGGAATGGGACTGCACTGTGTACCATGTTCTAGGTAGACTGTTCACAATCTTTGCATAGCTTAGCCATGAAGAGCACGGAGCTTCACAGAGTTTAATGCTGGCACTCATTTATGCTTCTGTAGTTTCCAACGGACCTTGGCCATCTTTCCCAAACCAATTTCCACACTTTCCGAACATATTTTCCCAGTTTGCTTCTATCCCTGTGCCATCTCGAAATTCCCACATATCCTGTCCCTGAGGTGCTGCTTTTAATACGCCATTCCTCTATGAGTCAGAGAGAAGGTCAATCTTTAAACCAAAGCACTGCTTCACACACACAATAAATGTGTCTATCTCTAAACAAGAACATGATTGTGACATAGTATCCAAAGACACTATGACACGTAGGTGGTAAGGATGGCAGTACTTCAAGCAAAATGAAGAGCAAAAAACCCTTGTGTTTTAAGATCACAGCAACTTAAAAGAAGTAAAAAAAAATTGATAAATAGCCCCTCTTACCTGCAGTAGTTTCATTCATTAATCGCAGACAATTGAGACCAGCAATCTGTGTTGCATCCATCACTGATCGTCTTTCTGCATCAGTGTAGAAACAAGGAACCTAAAAAAATTTTGGAAGTTTATTATAAAATTTTCTCATTTAAAATGTACCTGCCTACACAAAAAACTAAAAATAAAATTACCATATGATCGAGCAATTCTACTCCTAGGTATATGTTCGAAAGACTTGAAAGCAGAGACTCAAACAGAGATGTGTACATCAATGTTCACCACAGCATTATTCACAATCGCAAAAAAGTGGAAACAACCTAAATGCCCATCAGCAGATGAATGGATAAACAAAATGCAGTACATACATACAACAGAATACTACTCAGCCAGTAGGAGAAATGAAATCTTGATACATGTTACAGTATGGATGGAGCTTGAAGACATTACTCTGAGTGAAATATACCAATCATAAAAGGACAAACATTCTATGACCTCACTTATATAAAAAGACAAGAAAAGGCAAACATATAGAGAACAAAGTTTATTAGTGGTTACCAGGGCAGAAGGGAGGTGGGAAACAGGAGTTAACGGGGATGGAAAAATTGCACTGATTACGGGTAGGAGTGTACAACTAATTAATTATTGTAATCGCTATCAATTAAGTTGTACACCTGTAAAATGCTGAACTGGGAGAAGCTAAGTGACAGATACATTTACAAAAACGACAAACAAAGAGTAGCTGTTGAGGCTGCTTATGTACAACAAAGTATCATATAGGATTTGGTTCCTCAGTTTGGACGTTAAGGGTCATGGTTTCATGGGACATCCCAGTTAACTGGCCTATGAAAGTATTTAGTACTTCTGTTCTATCTCCTACTTCACTGTGTAGTGCCTGGGGTCTTAAAAGCTTGCAAGCAACCACAATGACTGCCCTGACAGTGAATGCAACAGTGAGTCCCTGACAGAGCAGGAGAAAAGTGGTATGCAGAACTCAAACTCTAGTAAAAAGACCAGACTTAATGGTTTGATTGAGACTGGAGGGACCCTGGAAGATGTGGCCCCCGGGCTCTGTGTTAGCCCAAAACTATAACCATTCCTGAGGCCAACTGTTCAGACAAAGATAAGACTGGACTTAATTGGCATAACAAAGTTTAATAGGAAAATATTCTGCATCCCACTTTGGTGAGTGGCGACTGGGGTCTTAAAAGCTTGCAAGCAGCCATCTAAGATTCATCAATTGGTCCCCACCACCCGGAGGAGTAAAGGAGAATGAAGAACACCAAAGATACAAGGAAACTATTAGCCCAATAGACAGAAAGGGTCACATAAACCAGAGACTTCACCAGCCTGAGACCAGAAGAACTAGATGGTGCTCAGCTACCACCAATGACCACCCTGACAGGGAACATAACAGAGAGTGCGATGGAGCAGGAGAAAGGTGGGGTGCAGAACTCAAATTCTAGTAAAAGATCAGACTTAATGGTCTGACTGAGACTGGAGGAACTCCAGAAAGCATGGCCCCTGGATTCTCTATCAGCCCAGAACTGAAAATTTCTAAGGTCAACTCTTCAGACAAAGGTTGGACTGGACTATGGAACATAAAACGATAATCATGAAGAGTGTGCTTCTCAGCTCAAGCAGACACATGACACCAAACGGGCAGCTTCTGTCCAGGGGTGAGATGAGAAGGCAGAGAGGGTTAAGAGCTGGTTGAAAGGACATGGGAAATCAGGGGTGGAAAGGAGTGTGCTGTCACAGTATAAGGAGAGCAATTAGGGTCACATAACAATGCATGTACAAATTTTTGTGTAAGAGACTAACCTGAAATGTAAACTTTCACTTAAACAACAATAAACAAAAAAGATTAGACTGGACTATGGGACGTAAAATGATACTCGCGAAGAGTGTCCTTCTTACCTCAAGTAGATACATGAGATTAAATGAGCAGCTCTCATGCAGAGGCAAGATGAGAAGGCAGAGAGGCTCAGGAGCTGATTGAACGGACACAGGAAATCCAGGGTGGAAAGGAGGAGTGTCTTGTCACAGTACAAGGAGAACAAGTAGGGTCACAAAACAATGTATGTATAAATTTTTGTATGACAGACTAACCTGAATTGTAAACTTTCACTTAAAGTACAAAAAAAAAATTAAAAGAAAGCTTGCAAGCAGCCATCCAAGGCACAGCAATTGAACTGTATTCGCCTGGAGTAAGACAGGAAGAGAATCAGGAAGAGGAGGAGGATATAGAACGTGTGGCTAATATACTCCATGAACAACTGCCTCCTTTGCCGTGAGACCAGAAGAACTGGATGGTGTGCGGCTACCACTACTGAACTTTTTAATCACAGATTCTACAGAAGAATCCTGATCAAAAGGGGAAAAATGCAGAACAGAATTTCAAATTCTCATGGACTCCAGACTTTGTGGAGCTATGAAGCTTGGATGAACCCCTGAAACTACTGCCCTAAGATAATCTTTAAACTTTAAACCAAAAATATACCTAAAGTCTGGCAAGGACTAGAAGGCAGGAGGGGACAGTAAAGCTGCTGACTAGGAACCCAAAGTTGAGAAGGAAGAGTGTGTTGACGTGTCGTGGGGTTGGTAACCAATGTCACAAAACAATATGTGAACCAGCTGTTTATGAGAAGCTAGTGTGTTCTGTAAACCTTCATCTACAGCACAATAATTTAAAAAAAAAAAATCTATATATCCCCTGAAGTCTTCTTAAAACCTATCAATAATTTAGCTTAACTAATAAAAAAAAAGTCTGCCTTGAGCATTATGCTCTTTTAAGAACTATCTATATGGGATCAAATTGAGAAGAGCAACTCGAAAGATGACACTGGAACCTCAGGGGGCAGTGAATGTATGTTAATGGGGAGGAACAACTCAGAAAAGGAGGGTGAGAATGGTTGCGCCAACTCGGAAAAATGCAATCAGTGTCACTCAATTGTACATGTAGAAACTGCTGAATAGGTGTATCTTTTGCTATGTATTTCTCAACAAAAATGACAAAGTAAATAAAATTTAGAAGGAAAAAAAAAAAAATTCATGTGACAACCGGAACGGAATTAATACGAATGTTGCCACACTGTAAAAAATGTAATCAATGTAACTAAATAACTTGTGTAGACTGTTAAATGGGCAACTAATCTGCTGTGTAAACTCTCACCGAAAACACAATGAAGAATTTTTTTTTAAATGTACTTGTCAAAAAATAGTTAAAACAGTCAAATCCAGAAATGCCCTCAAAAATCTACAACAATTATTCCTGTATATGATCGATGAAATTCAAACCAGTGGGGAAAATTAGAATATCCAGTAGTAGCACTGGGACAAATGGATAGTCATACAGAACAAAATCAGGTTACATCCTTATCTCATAGCTTATAAAAAATATACCAAATTAAAGATTTAAAAATAAAAAATAAAATCCTAAAAATATCAGTATGAAAGACAATCTTTACCATCACGGTAGAGAAGGCCTTTCTAAATAACAAAACCCACAAAAAAAAAAAAGAAAAGATTTAATACATTTAACTGCATAAAAAAAAATTCTAATGACCAAACGGGTATCATAAAGGGACAAACAGCTCATCTCCCAAATATAATGAAGAACAACTACAAATCAAAATGAAGACTACAGACTAACAATAAAATGAGGAAAAGATACAAATATGTCTCAAAAAAGGAAATACAAACGGCTCTTAAATAAAGATACTCAACTGAAAAAGAGCTACCATATGACCCAGCAATCCAAAACCTAGGTTTATACCCAAAAGAACTGAAAACAGAAACACCAGCAGATACTTGTACGCCAGTGTTCATTACCGCATTACTCACAATAACCAAAAAGTAGAAACAGCCTAAGATGTCCATCCGTAGATGAACAGATAAAGAAAATGTGGCACATACAATGTAGTATTACTCAGTCATAAAAAGAAATGCAGACTTGATCCATGCTACAACGTGAACGGAACTTGAAAAACATTATGCTGAGTGAAAAAAGTCAATTACAAAAGGACAAACGCTATGTGATTCTACTCATGTAACATTTCTAGAATAGTCTAGTGTACAGAAGCCAAATCTTGGCAAAGAAGACTCAATGCTTAGGGGACACTGGAGCTTCTTCTATTAAGGACGATGGTATAATTTGGGAATAGTATAATTTGGAAACAGTAAGGGTGATCAATGAACAACATGATGAACAGAAGTAATGTCGCTGAACTGTACGTGTGAATATTGAAATTTCAAACGTTTTGTTACATATATATTTTTATTAAAAAAAAAAATGTTCAACTTTACCTAAGGAACAAAAAATTAAAATCACATACACTTTAATAGCATTTTTCACTTATGAGATTAGCTAACACACCAACAAGCTGTGCTGGGGAGGCTGTGGTGAAACAAACCCTTTCATACACTGTTTGTGGAAGTGTAAGTTGCTATACAATTCCTTAAACGGCAAGTAAGCAACAGCTGTTAAAATTACAAACCCATATATCCTTTTCCCCAGCAATTTCACTTCTAGGAATTTATCCCACAAAGCTTACAAATCTAATCACACAGAAGCAAAATATTTGTTCAATGTTATTCACTCCAGCATTCTTCATGATAAAAACTGAAGACACTGGTTAAAGAAATTATGGAATATGCATAAACTGGAATACTATACAGCCACTAAAAAGAATGAAGTACTTCTTTATCTACTGCTATGAAACAAGTACAAGATAAACTCTCCAAAATTTTTAAGAAGAAAAGGACCTATACATTATTTGCTTGGGTATATAAAAACCTCTGGAAGCAGGGAGCCAAGATGGCAGAGTAATCAGGTGCTTCTGGTGGACCCTCTTACAACAAAGACCCGAAAAACAAGTGAATTAATTATATGTGACAACCTAGGAGCCCTGAACATCTGAGGCAAAGTTGAGGAACTGGACTGAGTGGCAGGGGGACCGAGAGAAGGTTCGGAAGCAGCGAGGAGTTGCCGGACCTGACCTGGTGAGAGCCTGAGCCCTTCAGGCCTGAGCAGCTCATGGGTGAGCGGTGAGGCAGGCAAGCAGCGGTTCTCGGGAGACACGTTTTCCGCACCGGGAGAGACCCAGCACCAGAGAGTCTACTGGGCCATCCAGAACCAGTGAGAAGCAGCCCTGGATCGGCGAAAGATAAGTACTTGCATACGGCCTACCGGGCAGATCAAAAACACTCCCCTTAGGGAAAAACTGCTCTCCCATTTACCTCCCGACTCCCTGCTCTACACTGGGTCCCAGACTGGCTTCAAAAACTGCTGAGTCCCTGAGCCGGAAGTAGGATCTGTCACACGCCCTGAGCCATTATCCCAGCCCTGGAGAGTGAAAAAATTACAAAGAGGGAGAAAAAATAAACTGCCAGCTCCCCTAAGCCAGAAACCCAGGGTAGGCACAGCTCCTTTGCCTAGGCACAGGCACAAGGGATCCACGGACTTTGAGTACCTCTCCCCCTGCAGAGACTTGTGTGGGCCGATTTCAACAGCGTAGGCCCTTATTACCACAGTACAACAGGGTATATACCTGAACTCTGAATTCAACTGTTTCAGCTGCGAAGTGGCAGGTTCGTGACATCTGACACTGCTCTGCCCATTAAGCAGGGTCTTCACCTACCCACATCAGTGGCCTGAGGACGGGTGGCTCCACCCACGTCACCTTGCCATCTGCGACAGGGGCCCAAGAATAAGATGTGCCCCCGGTCCTTACGGCCAACAGCATTAGCTGCTCAAAGTCTAGCTACAAAACCCACCCACCTATGCACTCTAGGGAACAGGGATACGTCCTCCTGCTGGACACCCAGGGGCGGCTGTCAGCCCCCTGCCTTGCTCAGAGAGCGTGCCCCTGCTGCAGCCAGATGCCTGTGCCTACACCAATCACCCATGCCTGTCCAGGACTGTAAGTGAGATTGAAAGCCTCCACCACACACATGGTGGCTATCTACCTGGGCACCTGAGCTAAATCCATACAGGAGGAGTGGGCAGACTCCTGAGCTCACATACCTAGTAACAGATCTAACCACCTGGTGATAAGACATTTGAGCTTCAAAGCTGCCAGTAATCAAACTAGCTCATATGAGCAGCCTATTTGGGCATATCAAAACAAAATAAGAAGCTACGACACAGTAAGCAAACATAAAATAAATAAACATAATAACTCATTGATGGCTTGGAGACAACGGTCAATACCAAATCACATAAACAGGCAATCAACAATGGCTTCAGCAAGCTCTCAAAATAAAGAAATCTAGAAATTTTCCAAATTTTCTTGAAATTACCAGAGGCAGACCACAAAAGATTAATATACAGAACTCTTCAAGAGATTAGGAAGGAAATTAAGCAAAACGCAGAACACACAATACAGGAAATTAAAAAAGATTAGAGAAGAGCATAAGGACAAATTTAACAGACTGCAAGAATCCAGAGAGACAGCAATCAGAAATCCAGAAGATTAATAATAAAATTTCTGAATTAGACAACTCAATAGAAAGTCATAGGAGCAGAATCGAGGTAATGGAAGTCAAGATTAGTGAGACTGAAGATAAAGCACTTGACACCAACTTATTTGAGGAAAGATCAGATAAAAGGATTTAAAAAAATGAAGAAACCCTAAGAATTATGTGGGACTGTATAAAGAGGAATAATCTATGAGTGACTGGAATACCAGAAAAGGGGGATAACAAAAAATAGAACTGTTGAACATTTATTGCCAGAAAACTTCCCTGATATCATGAAAGATGGGAAGAGATCTACCCAAGATGCTCATCGAACCCCACATACAGTAGATCCCAAAAGAAAGTCACCAAGATGTATTATAATCAAACTCACCAAAACCAAAGATAAAGAGAATTTTAAGAGCGGCCAGGGATAAATGAAAAGTCATCTACAAGGAGAGTCAGTAAGAAAAAGCTCGGACTACTCAGCAGAAACCATGCAGGCAACAGGGCAATGGGATGACATCTATAAAGCCTTGAAGGAAAAAAAACAGCCAGCCAAGAATTATATATCCAGCCAAACTGTCTCTCAAACATGATGGCAAAATTAGGGCGTTTCCAGATCAACAGAAGCTGAGGGAATTTGCAAAAACCAAACCAAAATTACAAGAAATACTAAAGAGCGTCCTCCGGTTAGAAAATCAGTAACACCAGATAACAATCCAAGACTAGAACACAGGACAGAGCAACGAGGTATCAGCCCATATAGGGAAGTCACAAAAATAAAGCTAGGATTTCCGGGCAACACGGCTCTATAGTCAGAAGCACCATGCCGACCCTCCAAAGCAAAGATCCAAAACACTAAGTCAAACAGAGTCACATGTCAGTCCTGAAACCCTAAGCATCAAATGAAGAGATAAAGAACTCAGCCGAGCACGAACACAATAAGAAACTGAGAACAGAGAGCGAGGAGGGTATACATGCAGTAGTCCCCTGTCAGCTACCGCAGCACGGATCCACCATCTTGGACTCCTATCGGAGATCGCTGAACAGGGGGTACGAGAAAGCAGCTTCATGGAGCTTCCAGCAGGAAACAGAACAACCGGTAACCAACTATATACGCTTTCCCACACACTACAGGGGAAGTCAGCATAACTGGACTAAACCAAAGCTAAGAAGCTTCCTGAATACAATCAAACACTTTGAGGGACAGAGTAGCAGGGGTGGGGTCTGGGGACCATGCTTTCAGGGAACATCTAGGTCAACTGGCGTAACAAAGCTTATTAGAAAATATTCTGCATCCTACTTCGGTTGAGTGGCATCTGGGGTCTTAAAAGCTTTCAAGCGGTCATCTAAGATGCATCAATTGGTCCCAACCAGCTGGAGTAAAGGAGAATGAAGAACACCAAAGACACAAGGAAAGCAGTAGCCCAAGAGACAGAAAGGGCCACATAAACCAGCCTGAGACCAGAAGAACTAGATGGTGCCTGGCTACCACCGATGACCGCCCTGACAGGGAACACAACAGAGAGCCCTGGATGGAGCAGGAGAAAGGTGGGGTGCAGAACTCAAATTCTAGTAAGAAGACCAGACTTGATGGTCTGACTGAAACTGGAGGAACCTTGGAAAGTACGGCCCCTGGATTCTCTATCAGCCCAGAACTAAAACAATTTCTGAGTACAACTCTTCAGACAGGGATTGGACTGGACTGTGGGACATAAAGTGATACTCATGAGGAGTATGCCTCTTAGCTGAAGTAGATACAAGAGACTAAATGGGCAGCTTCTGTCTGGAGGTGAAATGGGATGGCAGAGAGGGTTAGGAGCTGACTGAATGAACATGGGGAATCAGGGGTAGAAAGGAGGTGTGTGCTGTCACACTATGAGGAGAGCAGTTAGGGTCACGTAACAATGTATGTATAAATTTTTGTATGGGAGAATAATTTGAAATGTAAATTTCATTTAAACTACAACAATTAAAAAAAAACCCTCTGGAAGGGTTCATAATAAAGTGGTAAAACTGGTAACCTCTGGGAAGGAAAAGTTAGGTGGCAATACTCACTAGGTAGCAGAGGACTCTGAGGTTTCTATACTCCTTTATACATTTGATTTTGAACGCTGGGACTATGTTTACAAAATTACATTTACTTTTAGCAATAATCAACATATTACTAACCAATGTATCTGCTTCTTCATTCAGGTCCCAAATAATGTGTAGAAATCAAACTCACCGAAATAACACAATCAACAACAGGCTTCTTAAGAACATTCTCTGCTGTCTCTTTCAGTTTGGACAACAGCATGGCGGTCACTTGCTCAGTGGTAAAATTTCGTTCTTCCTCCATGTATCTCACCTGCCAAGAAAATAAGAGGATCTAGACTTACTATATTTCTTCACATCCAAAAAGCCTAAAATGAACAATGTCTCACAACATCAATGGAACATTATCTCAAAAGGATACTAAGGGAAGCTGGTTTTGGAAGCAAAATAACTTGAATGTCACTTGTAGCTTTTTAATATGCTTGTCCAACACCATACTTGGAGATGAAGACTACAACGCAAGTATGTCGTAACCATCAACAAAACTTGAGACAATTACCTGTACAGAAGCAAATGGATATAACTCACCATAACCCATACTGCCTGTTCATAAAGCAAACTTCTGGTAGTTATGTTACCATTTTACATATTATATGTTTTACTTTGCTTACTGTGTTTACTTTATTATTCATCTCCACAAAATTAGGATCCAATTCAACCTGAGGGTATGGTTTTTGTCTGATTTGTTTATTTCCACAGCCCCAACCACCTAGGAAAGGAACTGGCACAATAAACACCTGAATTAAATAATAAATGATAAACACAGCTTTGGGATTAAGTCCTTCCTAGATAAAAGCCTGCAACTTCGACAAGAAATTATAGTTTAAATGTTGACAGACTGCCTAGAATAAATCCTATCCATATGCCCATGCTCTCCAAATACAATCTAGACCAAAAAATGTTACTCTCTTCATTTAGCTGCTGCCCCAACTCAGCTTGAGTGTCACCTTTCCTCACTCCCCAGCCCAACTACAATTTATCCTGGTTTAGAATCGAACAGCTTCTCTGTTTATTGCATGATGAAAATGGGAAAATACCCCTCCTCTAAGTGACCCTTTTTCTAAGCTACCTCCTTTCCTGCTATTTAATTCTTGCTATTTGTTTAATTCTAAGTCAACTCCTCCACCCTTGTACTTGGGCCCAGTTTTTACAAAATAATCCTGCTACTGTTTTTCTCCTTTGGCTCTTGTGATGCTGTGACTAAATCTGCCGTTACCTACCCTACTTCTTCCTTAAAAGTAAGTACCCTTCATTTCCTTATCTCCTTTTTCCTTTTTCACTCACCTGCACTCTGGCATCATCCCTTACTATGCCATTCAAACTGTACGGAGATTACTGCCACAGATATCCTAAGTAAATCCACTAACTATTTCAAAGTTTTTCACTTGAGTTCAAATGAATTCTCAGCTACACTGGCACAATTTACCATCTCCTGGCTTTGACCCTATTCCCATGATTCTTATTTCTCAAACACAAAATCTCCTCTCTCTAAACTCACTTGCCTGGAAAGCTCATTCACCTTCCTGGATTCTTCTTACCACCTCTAAGTGCAAGATCAACAGATGTGCCCCATCCTACTCATCCCCCAGCCTCTCGCCTCTTTTGTGTCATCAGCCCACTACATGCTTTACAAAGACACTCCTCTGGACGTCCCAGAGATAGCAAAGCTTAATACCTCAAGGACCAAACTAATTTTTCCCAAAAGAAAGTCTGCTCCCAATCAAAGCCCTATTGTTATGAGTATGACTACAGATCTGGCTAGACCTAAAAGTGTTGATTCCTTTGCCTGCTCTTTCAGGACTCATTCCCTAAAATCACACCAGAAAGACCACTGCATCAATGAACAAGACAAGCAGCAATACCAGTGTTAACTAACACTCCCCGACCCTCCAACCTATATTAACAGTGCCCATCTGTGGCTCCCAACTAAAAGCCAGATCATTCAAAAAATGTCAAATGATCTATACTAGCCAAAATTTTTCCTAAACATCTATAAACATTTTCATTACAAGTTGAAATCAGAATGGTACTGATATAAACTGAACTGATAAAATACTGCATTTTAATCGTAAGACATTATCTTGAAACCCTTACCTTTATACCTGTCAATCCAGTGGGGAGTTGAACAATATCATACGCAAGGTTAGATTTTTCTGCTTCCACAAATGGATCTGAGAATGCTCGGCCATGGAATCTTTTAAACCCTTGGACAGTGTTCTTTGCATTAGAAATTACCTAAAAGAAAGAACATCAGTCAGAGTAAAAAGACTACTAGGAAATTTTTTAAAAATTTGACAGCCTCAGATTAAATTAGCATCATTTTAACTTCAAGAAAGTTTTCTTCTTAAAGCTTCTGTTTTCTTCAGACACTTAACCTTTCTAGGTGATTCTTCTAATGTTAAGTGAGTTGTATGGGACTTGCCCATGGTCATATGGTTCAGGACCAGAGCCCAGCTCTTCCTACTCCTGCATGATATCAGGCCATCACACTTACAAAAAGTATTTTCTGTTCTTAAAGTTCTAATAAACATTTACATAAATGGACCTTTACCTTTTAAAAGTTACCAATACTTAGAAACTGGTTCAAACTTTCCAGAAGCCAATTTGGCAATACATATCCATTCAGAAACTGTAGCTAAAGAAATTTACCATAAAGGGAAAAAAAAATATCACACTAAGTACACAAAGATGAATGCAAAAGGATACTGACAAAAGTACTGCAGAAGACTGGAAACAATCTGGAAGGTCAATAACAGGAGACTGCTTAAATAAATTATGGTATATTCATACAGTGAATTACCATATGTTGGTATTTCACAGCGGGTAAGATTATACTATGAGATAGAAAACAAGTCTCTTATAATATGATCTTACTTTCTTAGACGAAAAAAACACATTTATAGACTTAGAGTACAAAAGGATACACATTAAGATATTAACAGTAATTTCTGGAAAATGGTATTACAGATAGCTTTCAAATTCCTTATATTTTATACCTACATTTTCTAATTTCTCTAGAATAAACCATTATAAATAATGAAACAAAAATGAGGGCAACAACATTCAAAAAATTTTAAGAATAAACTTGTTCTTGAGATTAATAGGTTCTTCCTCCTAATGCAGGACCAAGCGTAACAAGACTTTACAGGAGATACTGCAGAGCTCCTCTGCGTCGGCTATGTCAAAAGGCACACAAAGATGTACTTCTGTAAAATAATGAGGCCTCCAAACTAAGATGCCAAGTAGAAACTCAATAAATAACTCTGTCAATCTACAACTGGGCAAGAGGTATAGTACAATAACTGTTCTCAATAATAAAAGCAGGTTTAAAAACAGGAAGAATTCATTGGAGTTTCAGAAGGAAAGAGATTTCAAAATAGCCCTGTACTTGCTATCTACTGGCCTCCCTAAGTATCTACAACTTTTTGAAAATGATGTATTTTAAAACACCCAAATTAACTAGAAAAACCAAACGGCCAAGCACTATTTTCTTAGGCTCATAAACTGTACCCAGAAAGTGTTTTTTAGGCCTTGTCCGGTAGAACAGAGACAGATATTCTCTTTATATATGCTTCAGAATAAACCGTTAAAAGGTCAAAAACGTTGTTGTTGATAGGTGCCATCAAGTTGGTTCCAATTCATAGCGACCCCATGCACAACAGAACGAAACACTGCCCAGTCCTGTGCCATCCTCAAAACTGTTACTGTGTTTGAGCCCACTGTTGCAGCCACTGTGTCAATACATCTCCTTACAGGTATTCCTCTTTTTCCCTGACCCTCTACTTTACACCAAGCACAACGTCCTTCTCCAAGAACTGGTCCTTCCTGATAACATGTCCAAAGTACATGACACAAAGTCTCATCATCCTCACTTCCAAGGAGCACTCTAGTTGTATTTCTTCCAAGACAGACTTGTTCGTTCTTCTGTCACTCCATGGTATAGCCAATATTCTTCCCCAACACCATAATTCAAAGGCATCGATTCTTCTTCGGTCTTCCTTATTCAATGTCGTTTTGGCTGCATATGAGGCTACTGAAAATACCATGGACTGAAAACACCATGGCTTGGGACAGGAGCACCTTAGTTCTAAAAGTGACGTCTTTGCTTTTTAACACTTGAAAGAGATTTTTTGCAGATCAGCCCAATGCAATACATCGTTTGACTTCCTGACTGCTGCTTCCATGGGCATTGATCACGGATCCAAGTAAAACAAAATACTTGCCAACTTCCATCTTTTCTCCATTTATCCTGATGTTGCTTACTGGTCCAGTTGTGAGAATTTTTGTTTTCTTTACATTGACGTGTAATTCATACTGAAAGCTATAGTCTTTGATCTTCATTAGTACGTGCTTCAAGTTCTCTTCACTTTTGGCAAGCAAGGTTCTATTATCTGCATATTGAAGGTTGTTAACAAGTCTTTCTCCAATCCTCATGATGCGTACTTCATCATATAGTCCAGTTTCTCGAATTATTTGCTCAGCACACAGATTGAACAAATTATGGTGAAAAAACAACCCTGAAACACACCTCTTCTGATTTTAAACCACAGTGTCCCCTTGTTCTGTTTGAATGACTGCCACTTGATCTATGTATAGATTCCTCACGAGCACATAGTGTTCTGGAATTCCTGTTCTTCGCAATATTATTCATAATTTTTTATGATCCACAGTCGAATGCCTCTGCATAGTCAATAAACACAGGTAAACATCTTTCTGGTAGTCTCTGCTTTCAGCCAAGATCCAACTGACATCAGTGAAGATATCCCTTGTTCCACGTCCTCTTCTGAATCCAGCTTGAATTTCCAGCAGTTCCCTGTCAATGTACTGCTGCAACCATTCTTATATTAACTTCAGCAAAGTTTTACTTGCATGTGATATTAATGATACTGTTTGATAATTTCCACATTCTGCTGGCTCACTTTTCTTTGGAATGAGAACACACACAGATCTCATCTAGTCGGTTGGCCAGGTAGCTGTCTTCCAAATGTCTCAGCATAGACGAGTACACATCCAGCATTGTATCTGTTTGCTGAAATATCTCAGTTCGTATTCCATCAACTCCTGCAGCCTTGTTTTTTGCCAATGCCTTCAGTGCAGTTTGGGCTTCTTCTTTCAATACCACTGGTTCTTGATCATATGCTACCTACTGAAATGGCTGAATGTCAACCAATTCTTTTTGGTACAGTGACTCTGTATTCTTTCCATCTCCTTTCGGTGCTTTCTGTGTAGTTCAATACCTTGCCCGTAGAATCCTTCAATATTGCAACTCGAGGCTTAAATTTTTTCTTCAGTTCTTTTGGCTTGAGAAATTCCAAGCGTGGTCTTCCCTTTTGGTTTTCTAACTCCAGGTCTTTGCACATTTCATTATAATACTTTGTCTTCTCTAGCCCACCCTGGATGCCTTCTGCTCGGCTCTTTCACTTCATCATTTCTTTCATTTGCTTTAGCTACTATATGTTCAAGAGCAAACTTCAGAGTCTCCTCTGACATCTATTTTAGTCTCTTCTTTCTTTCCTATCTTTTTAATGACCTTTTGCTTTCTTCACGTACAATGTCCTTGTTGTCATCCCACAATTCATATGGTCTTCTGTCATTAGTCTTCAATGTGTCAAATGTATTCCTGAGATGGTCTCTAAATTCAGGCCGGATATACTGAAGGTTGTACTTTGGCTCTCGTGGACTTGTTTTAATTTTCTTCAGCTTCAACTTGAACTTGTATATGAGCAACTGATGGTCTGTTCTGCAGTTGCCCTCTGGTCTTGTCCTCACTAATATTGAGCTTCTCCATTGTCTCTTCCCACAGATATAGCTGATCTGATTCCTGTTTATTCCATCCAGCAAGGACAACTTGTATAGCTACCATTTATGTTGTCGAGAAAAGGTATTTGCAATTAACAGGTCGTTGGTCTTTCAAAATTCTATCATGTGATCTCAGCCACTGTTTCTATCACCAATACCTTATTTTCCAACTAGTGATCCTTCCTTGTTTCCAACTTTCACATTCCAATCATCAGGAATTATCAATGCATCTTGATTGCATGTTTGATCAATTTCAGACTGCATAAGTTGGTAAAAATCCTCAATTTCTTGCTCCATAGACATTCAAACTCCCTGAGGGACAGAATTACTGGGCTGAGGGCTGTGGGGACCATGGTCTTGGGGAACATCTAGTTCAATTGGCATAACATGGTTTATTTAAAAAATGTTCTACATTTTACTTTGAAGAGTAGCATCTGGGGTCTTAAAAGCCTATGAACAGCCATCTAAGATACTCCACTGGTCCCACCCTGTCTAGAGCAAGGGAGAACGAAGAAAACAAGACACAAGAGAAAGATCAGTCCAAAGGACTAATGGACCACAACTACCACAGCCTCCACCACCAGACTGAGTCCAGCACAACTAGATGGTGCCCGGCTACCACCACTGACTGCTCTGACAGGGATCACAGTAGAGGGTCCCAGACAGAGCTGGAGAAAAATGTAAAACAAAATTCTAACTCACAAAAAAAAAGATCAGACTTACTGGCCTGATAGAGACTAGAGAAATCCTGAGAGTATGGCCCCCAGATACCCATTTAGCTCAGTAATGAAGTCACTCCCAAGGTTCATCCTTTAGCCAAAGATTAGACAGGCCTATGAAACAAAACGAGACTAAAGGGGCACACCAGCTCAGAGGCAAGGTCTAGAAGGCAAAAGGCGACAGAAAAGCTGGTAATAGGGAAGCCAAGGTCCAGAAGGGAGAGCGCTGACATGTCGTGGGGTTGTCAACCAATGTCATAAAATATGTGTACTAACTGTTTAATGAGAAGCTAGTCTGTTCTGTAAACCTTCATCTAAAGTACAATTAAAAAAAAAAGAGGAGGAAAAAATCTTCAATTTCTTCACCTTTGGCATTAGTGGTTGGTGCATAAATTTGCATAACAGTCTTATTAACTGGTCTTCTTTATGGGCTCCGGATATTATCTTATCACTGACAGTGTTGTACTTCAGGACAGATCTTGAAATGTCCTTTTTGACAATGAATGTGATGCCGTTCCTCTTCGATTTGTCATTCCCAGCATAGTAGATCATATGACTGTTCAATTCAAAATGTCCAATATCAGTCCATTTCAGCTCACTAATGCCTAGAATATCGATCTTCAAGCATTCCATTTCATTTCTGACAACTTCCAATTTTCCTAGATTCATACTTTATACATTCCACATTCCGATTATTAATGGATGTTTACAGGTCTGTCTTCTCATTTTGAGTGGTGCCACATCAGCAAATGAAGGCCCCAAAAGCTTCACTCCAGCCACGTCAGTAACGTCATCTCTACTTTGAGGAGGCAGCTCTTCCCTAATCGTATTTTGAATGCCTTCTAATCTGAGGGGTTCATTCTGGTACTACATGAGACAGTGTTCTGCTCCTAGTCTTAAGGTCAAATATGCATTCCCTTAATTTTACAGTGACCTCAGACACTCAAGCTAACAGAACTCTTGGGGTTCTACTGCTCTGTTTACTCAGGTTCCTGGATTACAAAGTAAATTAATGATTAAGTCCTTTAATGTGCTTCTAGAAGTATGCTTTCTTTCCTTGAGAAACTTAAGAAGATCAAATGTAGAAACAACACTGACTATAAACACAAGAAAGATGAAAGTCCCAGTAAGACAGACTTTAAAGGGAATCCAAAATATCAAGGAACAAGTAAGTCTTGCTCAAACAAAATGTGTGCAAAATACATTGTAGCAGTCTGCATTAAACAAATAATATTGCTAATGCTACTTTAAAGAATCATTCTGTTAATGAGAACAGAGATCAGGTGTATTCTGTCAGTTATATATCTGTCAGTTATACACCTAGGGTGTAAGGTACAGTGGTTAAGCGCTACAGCTGCTAATCAAAAGGTCAGCAGTTCGAATCCACCTGCTGCTCCTTGGAAACTCTATGGACAGTTCTACTCCATCCTACAGGGTTGCTGAGTCAGAATCACTCGACAGCAACGGGTTAGGTTTGGTTAACAATGCCAGGCACGTAGTGGGCACTCAATAGTTACTGAATGTATGGATGGACAAACTGAAATATAAGTCATTTTAAGAAAAAACAAATGGATAGTGGTGATGGTTACACAACATGGTGAATGTAATTAACGTCACTGAAGTGTACATGTTAAAATGGTTTACATGGCAAATGTTTCATTATACATTTTATCATAATTTAAAAAAAAACTATACCTGGCTTTTAGCTGCCGCTCCAATTGAACGATTCTTAGGACCGAAAGAAATGCAAGCCCTAGAAAATAAAACAATTAAGTGTCAAACTTGACTGCAATATTACATCCAAAACCACAACAGACAAGATTTCTGAGTCTCAGCTAAAAAGCCATATATTTTAACAGCATACAATAAGTCCATGATTTTGATCTTTTTATTGAGTAAAACTGTCCATGAAATGGGCTGCCTCTCAGGAAAATGACAGTCCTGTATTTCAGTGTTGAAGCACAAGTGTGATGTGAGCACCACCTGTCTAGAATAGAACACTATTCTGGACTAGCAGAGAGCTGTACTAGCCAGTTTCCACCATCCTCTAATTCTTCAGCTCTCATGTTCAAAATCCCAATAAAAAATAATGTACCTATATATCAATACATCAATTAAATTTCCTTTGTTTTTTTTTAAAAGAGCTCATAACTTCACCAAGAATATAACCTATAAATCATGAAAATTTCCCCTCCCCTATCATATATAAGTAAAGAGTAATTTTTCTAGAACAGCTTCCAAAGACTCAATTTCTGATAAGGAACTTCCTTCCCACTTCGGAACACATTCTTGCAAATCACCAATTCATACACTATCTACTGGTTAGATCTATTTGCTGCCTCTTTTAGGAGTTAAAACTGAAACCTGCTTAAAGGTATAACTACTTAAAAAGCATTTTCGTCAGTTATATTGGAGATGATGCTCTCACGACCCCATGCATGACCTTGTTTTCCATTCTAACTCCTCAGGAACCTTGGCCTGTGTTCGCTCTATTCTCTGGTATTTCTCACCTCCCTTTCTATCGGCTGCTTTCTTGCAACCTAAAAATAAGATCAAATTTACCCAAAAAAATCCTAAGATGAACTCTTCTCAGAGTACATCTCTACCTCGAGCTAGTAAACCTTCCCTTCTTCCTACTTTAATAATGAGTAAGTAAACTGCTTATGTGTACTATTTCATTTAATCCTCAGAAGCACCCGATCTTATGCCCATTCACAGGTGAGGAAACTGAGTACAAAAAGGTATTAAGCAAATTTAGCCAGGGTTATGCAGTCTGAAGGCAGTGGAGTCAGGACTGTAGATCATTTCTCCATACTTTATACTCTAGCTTTGATCCAGCTACCCCTTGACCCTTTCCTTCCAATTTAGCAAAGTGAGTAAAAACAGGGGCTCAAGCCATACTGCCTTGGTCCAAACCTGACTACGTTAAACAGAATTTTTTTTTTAACTTTAAAGTTACTAGCCCCGTGCAACCTGGCGAAATGCTGGGCTCCTCCAAGGTCACAGAAGCTCTACAGACTCATCCAAACTCCCCGAGGGACCAAATTACTGGGCTTAGGACTATGGGGACCATGGTTTTGGGGAACATCTAGCTCAACTGGCATAATATAGTCTATCGAGAATATGTTCTACATTCTACTTTGGTGAGTAGTGTCTGGGGTCTTAAAAGCCTGTGAGCAGCCATCTAAGATACTCCACTGGTCCCACCCCGTCTGGAGCATGGGAGAATGAAGAAAACCAAAGATACAAGGGAAAGATTAATCCAAAGGACTAATGGACCACAACTACCACAGCCTCCACCAGAGTGAGTCCAGTACAACTGGAAGGTGCCCGGCTACCACCACTGACTGCTCTGACACGGATCACAGAAGAGGATCCCAGACAGAGCTGGAGAAAAATGTAGAACAAAATTCTAACTCACAAAAAAGATCAAACTTACTGGCCTGATAGAGACTGCAGAAACCCCAAGAGTATGGCCCATGGACACCCTTTTAGCTCAGTAATGAAGTCACTCCCGAGGTTCATCCTTCAGCCAAAGATTAGACAGGCCCATAAAACAAAGTGAGACTAAAGGGGCACGCCAGCCCAGGGGAAAGGACTAGAAGGCAGGAGGGGACACGAAAGCTGGTAATGGGGAACCCAAGGTCAAGAAGGAAGAGTGCTGACATGTAGTGCGGTTGTTAACCAATGTCGTAAAACAATATGTGTACTGTTTAATGAGAAGCTAGTTTGTTCCATAAACCTTCTCTAAAGTACAATAAAAAAAAGTTTAAAGCACACACACACAAAAAAAAGATGCTGTGCCTCAGTAGCTCTTTCCAACCAATGGAAGTAGAACCCCTGTGAGCCAACCTCCCAGGGCAGATGCAGGAAATTCTGTCTTGTATTAACTGGTGGGAAAAATAATGGCCTAACCTGGGAACTCATCAGACTTTCTCCGAACCCAAAATTCCATGGACCTAGAAAACGCTGGGGTAGCCCTTCAAAAAGTACAAGTGTTAAACTCGATCTCTCTGGAACTATACCACCAATTACTAAAATAAATAAAAATCTCTTAAGTATCACTTAAAATTGTGTCTCTTATCGCAGCCCATATCATCCTTTAGAAAACTGTCCAAGGCAATTTGTATTCAACTTGTAATGGTTCACTGGGTGGGTGAGATGCAGCTAGAAAATGGGGTGAGGCTGGGATGGTGATAGGCCTGAGGTTCCACATTAAAGAATCTTGGCTTTATTGTTGGTAGTTGGTTTTGTTTGGAAGGTAATTGTAAGCAAGACATCTTTAGAGTTATCGAGATAGAATAAGGAATTCTTCAACAGGACATACAACTGACCATCCAGGTCAACTGGCACAACATAGTTCATAAAGAAAAAGTTAATCATTTCTACCTCTTAAAACTTACTGGACTTGGCTTAACTTCTACCTAGTTCCAACCACAAACTGAACTTGAATTATGACTGCTAACATACTTGTTTCTCCCTCCAAAACAGTGTTTTATAAGCCACGTTGTTGTTGTTAGCTGCTATCAACCTATTCATGGGCTTAAAATCAACTGGAGGGGGAGACAGGAAAGGGGAGGTCATGAACAGCAAGTTAAATATAAAACACCACTATGCACTGCATGTAAATATATTGTTTAATGAAGCTTTTTTTCCAGTTGTGTGTGCCTGTAATATGTCTCAATGTAAAGAGTATAACTTACTAACATTTGAGGTCATAGGTTTGCTATGGACCTATGTTATCCAATAGGGTGGCACTAGCCACATATGGTTTTTTAAATTTACATTAATTAAAACTGAATAAAACTTAACACTCAGTTCCTCAGTCACACTGGCCATATTTCAATTGCTCAACAGACAAATGTGTCTTGTGGCTACTGTTTTAAAAATATAGATACAGAACATTTCCATCATGGCAGTATTTTCTAGTGGACAGGAGAACTGCTCTAGACTGTACTCTCCTTAAAATCAGTTAATATTTTTACTTACTTTTAAAATCTACTACGTTTTTAACAGTGATAATATCTCGAGAGTCAAGTAAATGTTTGTGTCCTTTCAAATTGTTCATCTTCCTTTTTTGGTTTATGCATACACACACTACAAAAAGTTCCCAACTTCTTATAAAACAATCAAATGTCACTAACGGAATTTCAATCTTCACCACATAATGTAGCAATTAAACCTCAACGCGTAACTCTGGCAGTGTAAGCGAAGTCTATACTTTTCTTACCATACACAGTGAAATCTGTGAGAGCCAGAACTCGACAGGACTGCCTTGTTTTTCTGGGTCTCACAAGTTTTCCACCTTTGACAGAGTGCAGTCTTACCACTTTTCTATTGATCCTTTTAGTGGAAAATATTTGCGTTTTCATTCTTTCATTCTCTGACAGGTTTCTGCCTTACACAGGTTCCGGATTTCACAGGTTTTACTGTACTTATAAATTCAACAATATAATTTCACCACCTAATTGTTACATTCTAAAAAATCTCCTTTAACAACTAGCCAACTACTGCACCAGAGAAAGAAATCCTTAGCATTTCCACTTTGTCATCAATTCAACTGATTTGAACAAATATACAGTAAAAGAGCTCAGGTTCTAACATAAATATCCTGTGTCCATCCAAATCTCTTATTTGCCTCTTCCCAGCTGCGTGACTTTTGCAAGTTGCTTAACCTGAGATTCAATTTGTTCATCTCTGAAATGAGGGAAATAACCACATCTACCTCAGAGGATTGCTGTGAAGAATAAATCTGACCATCTGCTTTTAAAGGGCTTATGTCAGAAGCTGGTACATAGTAAGTAATAAAACATTAGCTATTATTATAGTTCCATTGAAGCCCTGGTCTGAGTTTGATACAAAAATACACTAACTAGTTTACTATGAAGGTTGTTTAACCTTTTCAAATCATCCACTAAAATTCAGCCAAGCCATCTGAAAATTGTACATGCATGATTAAAAAAAAATCCTACTAACTCCATTAAGAAAGGACAACTGTGGGGACATCTAGGTCAACTGGCATAACATAGTCCATAAAGAAAATGTTCTACATCCTACTTTGGTGAGTAGCGTTTGGGTCTTAAAAGCTCGAGAGCAGCCATCTAAGATAAACCTATTGGTTTCCATCCCATCCGGAGCAATGGAGAATGAAGAAAACCGAAGGCACAGGGAAAATTTTAGTCCAAAGGACTAATGGATCACGTGAACCACAGCCTCCACCAGCCTGAGCCCAGAAGAACTAGATGATGCCTGACAACTGACACCGACTGCTCTGACAGAGATCACAATAAAGGATTAAGGGTCCCAGACAGAGCAAAAAAAAAAAAAATGTAGAACAAAACTCAAATTCACAAAAAAGACCAGACTTTACTGGTCTGTCAGAGTCTGGAGGAACTCCTGAGACTATGGCCACTGGACACTCTGCTAACTCAGAACTGAAGCCACTCCCAAAGTTCACCTGTCAACCAAAGATTACTATTGTTGTTAGATGCCGTTGAGTCGGTTTCAGCTCTTATCGACCCTACAGCAAAGAGCAGAACTGCTCCACAGGGTTTACACCAAGGAGCAGCCGGTGGGTTCGAATTGTCAACCTTTTGATTAGCAGCCGTAGCTCTTAACCACTGTACCACCAGGGCTCCATTTGTTTTATAGGCCTGTCTAATCTAGTTTTTACTATTTTTTTCTTTTTTTATTAATAATTTTTTTTCTTTTACTTTTGGTGAAGGTTTACAGAACAGTTTCTCATTAAACAATCAGAACACATATTGTTTTATGACATTGGTTAACAACCCTACGACATGTCAACACTCTCCCTTCTCGATCTTTTTTTTTTTTTTTTCGGGTGAAAATATACATAACCAAAGATACACCATTTCAAAAAATTTCTACATGGCACAAATCAGTGACATCAATTATTTTCTTCCAGTAGTGCTGCTATTCTCACTTTAGATGAAGGCTTACAGAATAGTTTCTCACTGAACAAGTTAGTACACGTTGCCCTATGACAATGGTTAACAACCCCAATACATGTCAACACTGTCCTTACTCAACCTTGGGTTCCCTATCACCAGCTTTCCTGTCCCCTTCTGCCTTCTAGTCCTTGTCCCTGGACTGCTGTGCCTCAT